TCTTGCAATTAGATTAGCCTATAATTCTTAAAAATGAAGACTTTTGTTTTTTCCCCTTTTTAAAAAATGTTATTGGGGTACAGTGGCCAGGGATAAGTTCTCATAGACAGGAAGTATGGTTCCTGTCTATGAGAATGGTTAGGAGATTTGGTTAGGAGATTATCACATGTCATAGACTGCAGATTTCTTCAATGCAAGAACCTTCCAATGTGGCTTTAAACTGACTAGACAGCATGGCCATCAGACAGATTTCTGAGAGCTGAAATTCATGCAGCTGGATGGTGCCCAATCTTCTACTTCAAGGAGGGAGATGTGCCAAGGCATTTGTCTCCCCAAAACCTTTTGGAACAGTCAGATCTTGGCAGCTTTTCTAAACACACTTGTGCTGACTTGACCTGGAATGGAGCACTAGTACCAAAGAGAGGCATACTGTAGTCCAAACCTAGGTAGCTATCATTTCAGATTTACACAAACTGGAATCTGGAATCATGGAGATTTGAAGTTTCAGTTTTCACCAAGTGTACATTTCTGTTGGCCTGCTCTGGGGTCTGCCTCTCATTAAGCATCCTATCCATCTGGGTTTCATTACAACTCTTTGAAAGCTAAAATGAGGGCTGGCTCATTCCCAGAGCTCACAGGTTTATCTATTCTCAAAGAGACTGGGAGTTTCATTTGACTTTGGCTTGATTTCAATTTATGATAATATCTAACTTATCACATTATTGTCATTACTAATAATGTCTTAAACTTCTTCCAAAACTGAGACACAGTGTGATGTAGTGGTTAGGATGTGGACTAGGAATCAGAAAATCTGGTTTTCGTTTATCTTGGCCCAGAAGCTCTCTGATTGACTTTGGGCTAATCACTCTCTCTAAGTCCAACTTACCTCACAGGGTTATTAGTGTGTGTGTGGGGAAATCTCTGAATGAATAGCAGAATACAGTTTTCATAAATAAAGAAATCTAAAGACTTTAGCTCCCTCTATATACCTCTGATACAATTAATCATCTCTAGTTCATTGCAGTATCAAACAGATTCACTGGTATTTTTTCCAAACATGCATCAGGAATCTGCCTTCATATAATTTAAATTATTTCATGTCAGGCATTCTAAGATGATAACCAAATTTTGATTTCTTGTGTATAATGCAAGGATGCCCTTGAAGGGACATGTGTGTAAAAAAAGTGAAGGTGGTGTCCTTGACTGCTAGATCCAATCCTCAGTCCTTGTTTACATTAAGATGGCATGTGCAATGCATGTAGAAAAGGGAAAAGGCTTTGGCTAAAAGGTCACAGCCACCATCTTGTCTTTTTTGTCCACTCTAGAGTTGCCCCGGATTTGATGCCAAGCATGTTGAAGAGTCATAAAAGAAATTATGGGGGAATCCAAGAAGAGCAAAACCAAAGATACCTTATAAATGACTATGTCCTAGAAGATCAGAATTATGAGAATTATATGAGAGATTCTTGTAATAAGCATTTTCCCTTAAATGGAGAACTCCATAATGGAGTTCTCACTTTTAGCTTGAGCCTGGAAAGGTGAAGATCATTAAAGTTTGTTCAATAACCTGCATAGTTATTTCCAAGAACTGACAAGATAAAATGCTATCTTTTGGTATGTCTAATAAATAGATTATTGTCAGCCTCTTCCTTTGAGTGTATCTGCATTTTACAGATGTTTTGTAAGGAAACAAATATCATACAGACAATGCCCCTATACTAAAGATAATTAAATAGAGAACAAATCTGACAATAGGTGGCACTGGAAAGCCTTTTACTGCAGAGTTTTGTTAGTGATCCCCAAATCTGAAAGGTTGCTTTCAGAATACTAACCAAACTGAAAACCTCCATGGGAGCATTTGGAACAGAAAAGTTGTTGGAGATAAATGAGTTAGGACTTGAAACTGCTCCAAATCCTCCCTCCTCGGGCAATTATTTTTCTTTTCATAAAGGAGCATGCATTATATTTTAATACATAAGGAAACGTGTTGCCATTTCTTATTCTAAGTGAGTGGGTTTGTTATAAATCAAGATTAGTGTAAGATGGGCACAGCCCCCACAGCCTTTTTCCTGGTTGCAATAGCCCTCTGCAATTCAGATCTTTGACAGACAACTATTCCTTTGCAGAAAAAGGCTTGGCTGAGTTGAGTCTCAGAAGGAGAAAATGGAAAAGTAAATGACAGAGAGAAATGAGGGCGATTCAAACAGAAGAAAGGCATGTCAGAAAAAAAACAAGATTGTAGAGGGAGTTACCAACTTTTGTTTGCTTTATGCCTTCTATATTTAAGGAAATATGACTCTTGACAAAGAAAATATTTCCCTCCCTGGCTAGTTTGAGTGCAGTTTTGAATGCTATTCTTATTGTAACTATTCCCCTGGTGAAGAGATTTTTCTTTGAAATATATCAGGATTGAGACGTTGGAATAAATATATGAAAGAGTCCCAATATGGTGTCTGTTATATAAAAACATCTAAAACTTAGAATTACATATTTTAAAACGTTTTTATGAAATTCAACTATAAACTGCCTGAAGTCGTGGGAAATGGATGGCACATAAAAATGTTTTAAATAAACAAGAGCAGATCTATCTGAACTGAGACAAAATAGCAGAATCACATGCCAGACTTTGTTGGCAAGATAACGTTTAGATGATAAATCCATACAGTAATAGAATGTCAGAGATGTAAGGGATAAGGTAGACCAATTATTTGCTCACTGTAAGAATATCCCAAAGATGCTTTTACACGAGGCAACTGGACTTTCTTGTTTCTCTTTGAAGACATTTTGCTTCTCATCCAAGAAGCTTCTTAAGCTCTGACTGGATGGTGGGGAATGGAAAGATTTATACTCCTTGCAGACAGCTGGTCATTTGCATTCTTTTAGAGAGTCATTAAAGCTATATGGAGGCTTATTTGTGTTTAACGACTGGCTAAAAGAATGCAAATGAACAACTGTCTGTAGGAATATAAATCTTTCCATTCCCCACCATCCAGTCAGAGCTGAAGAAGCTTCTTGGATAAGAAGCAAAATGTTTTCAAAGAAAAACAAGAAAGTCCAGTTGCCTTGTGTAAAAGCATCTTTGGGATAACTATGACCTGGATGACTGAGAATCTCCATAGACACTGTAAGAATAAATGAGCATCCACAGATGGCTAGCCTCTATATAACTTAAAGGGAAGCCCATCACTTCTCTAGATGATTGATCCTATTGTCAAATTGCTCCTATTTTTAGGATTGAATCTGTTCACTGGAAAGCCATAAATATTATACACTGTATTTACTCTAAGACTAACATGGTGAATACCAAGTAAATCTAGGCATTTGTATGGATATGAAGAATGTTGAGCTGGCAGGAAATTTTAAATACTGCAAAAAGATGAAGCCTACCTAGGAATCAAATCCTCATAAGCCTGTAAATGGTAAGATAGATCTGGTAGTCCTAACCTTACAGTTATCAATCAATCTTCTTGAAAGGACTCCATTAAACAGGTCCCTGGGATAGCATTGTAAGAGCCATAGGACCCCTCTCTGAATTTGGAAGGGAACCTCCAACCTTGGAGATGAAACAAACATCAAACTCCCCCTCAGAATCTTCGCTACACTTCAGTGCAGAACTTTCTGACTGTAGAGAAGCTCCAAAGATGGTGGACAAAGGAGTCACTCAGTATAAAAGCCTTCAGCTCATTTAGATCATCACTATATGAAGAACAAACACAAATTAAAACAACAAATCAGGAAAGACAATGCACCCTGCTTCTTCTTATTACTGCCCCCTCGTTGACAGGGCATTTGGAATCAGCAAAGCACTCTATTGTCAGACACATTATTTTAGATACACACTTCAAGCTTTGAAAATAGCATTTTCCCCCCACATCATTACTACCTCTTCTGCTTTCTTTTAAAGGCTTTCAGTCATAAGTTTTTAAAATCTAAAGTTAATGGAAGATGAACCCCGTGGTTTTAGATACACACTTCAAGCTTTGAAAATAGCATTTTCCCCCCACATCATTACTACCTCTTCTGCTTTCTTTTAAAGGCTTTCAGTCATAAGTTTTTAAAATCTAAAGTTAATGGAAGATGAACCCCGTGGTTTCTGGGAGTACACGTGACCAAAATCTGAAAGGGCATAGTTTTTCTGTTCCCAATATAAATTATAAACTATGAATTATGAATGATAAAGATTCACAATATGAAATAGCATTTAAAGACATATTTTTGCTAGTTGGGTTCTTTTTTAGTGTTTTTAACTGAAATACACAAAACAGAATATTTTGTTAATGAAAACAACTAAGTCTATTAAATATTCAAAATTCTCATTTTTTTTTAGTTTAATGTATTTTACTGGAAGTTTTGACAATGTGCAAGTGATTCTAGAGGGTCTAAATGAAATAAATATTTCCAGGATATACATTGTTCTTACTTCAGAAAAGTAAAGAATAGGAAGAGCGTATACAGTAATGAATATGTAAATGAAAGCAATGGTTGTTCTTCCTCCTTGCTTTACCCAGACCCATCCTTCTTTTCCCACATTATTCCTTTCCTCCTTGTACTCCTGGTTTTCAAAATCGTTGTTATTTGAACTATATTTGACATGCAAGACATTTATGCCCTTTGTAGATTAGGTCAAAGAAAAAGATAGTCTGAATAGTTGATGGCATTAAAAGTGAATTATTGATACTAGAATATTCTGATAGTATGGTTGTCAGAGAATAGAGCCCCAGGATTAATTTAATATTGGAGAGAGAAAATTCTCCAGTCTCCAATGAAACCAGTATTTCTTCCCTGTATCCCCATGCATTTCTTCTTGGATAGGAATGGTCTTAACAAAATGGTAGGATGTAGATGAAAGATTCCCCCCCCCACAGAGTTTGGCTATTGAGAAATTCCTCTTCATCTTCTTCCACATGTGTGACATGGCAGAGTCAACTGTTTTTACACAGAAAGTCATTCAACAGTAAACGCAAGAACTTCCAATCCATCTTTGCTTCGTCGTTCACATACATTCAGTGCCATGGAAAACCTGCTGGCTTAAGAGAAGACACAGTAGATAACTGTGTGGGGTGCAGAGTGTTGCTCTATGTTCTGTCCACTTGCTATTGACTGCTCAAACACCGGGATCCATATGTTCCTCTTGGGTAGAACTTTGGCCAGCCAAAGGCTCTGACAGATGGGCAGGATAGTAGAAGATGAGGTATCACATGGTGGGTTCTGATTCCTAGAAGGGAAAAACAAAACCCACTTACATATATATGACTGAAGGTAATTCTCAATAGTTTTCACATTTTGTTTTAATGGTCTCATTTTCCAGACTTTTTTCCTAGCTCATATGTTTATTAATAAGAGGTGTGATACAGGCATTCTGAACTATAATTTAGCACATCTTTACAGCTTTAGTTTTGTTTTATCACCCATATATCTGCAATGGAGTCCCACATTAACATCCAGTTATTAATTTTTCACTTTTAGACACTGATATTCAGAAATACTCTTTTCATCCTGGCTTATGCATGGGATAGAAAAACTACTTCCTGGGGATGTCTTCCCAGTTTCTGTGTTTATGAGACAATATTACAGTATTGTTGTCATCATCATCATCATCACCATCATTACCGCCAACCAATTATTTATTCTATATACAGTAGATTTGCTTTAATTTAATAGCATTTTGTGATTGTCTAGGAATTGACATTCACCAATTAATTTAATTAACAAATGAACTGAAAGAAATGCCAACATATGACATATGCCTGTCGCTTTCTATGTTTTCGGTGATGTGAGACCTCTGCTTACCGCTAAAAGCTATGTAAATGCGATAATGAATGAATGAAAGAATGAATAGCTCTCTGTCTAATATAAGTTATTTCATGCTATGAGGCAGCCTGAGTTGTTTTCAAATATCACTTTTGGAGTGCTCTATTAAATAAGGAAAGGGTTAATCATAATTTAATAAAGCATTTCACTTGCAAACTTTTTCAAGTGAAATAGAATTTACAGAACTTTCTAATCAGAATTAGGGAGAATGGACAAAAGGTTCCCTCTAGAATGACCAATTTTATATATCTCTTTGGGGCCAGGAGTGTCGAGTAGTTGTGTCCAGTGGTGGGATTCAGCCAGTTCGCACCACTTTGGCAGAACCAGTAACTAATTTTTTTGTTGCCCAGGCCCAGAATGGACTTCCGGAAGCAGCATCCACACAGAGAACCGGTTGTTCACATATTTGAATCCCACCACTGGTTGTGTCCCTCAACAAACAGCATCAGAGATTGTAATAAAAACCTCGTATAATAAAAGAGGAATAGCTTATGAAAAATGGAACTACTCCACAAATGCTGTGCACCAGTTGTGATTTGGAGCAAATCTAAAAAAACAACAAATCATAGAGGAAATGAAACAAGAACAAAAAGTGGAAAAATAAAAAAATCATTTTTTCAAAGTTAAAATTTGAAACTACTCTTTAAAAATAAATAAATATAAACAGATTCTCTCTCTGCCTCAGTGAACTACCAAATGTACAGGTATGAAAAACCAAATGTACAGGTATAGTATAGGGGGTACCTTGCTCAATAGTAGTAACTGTGAGAGGGATCTCGGAGTCCTAGTGGACAATCACCTGAATATGAGCCAGCAGTTTGCTGCAGCGGCCAAAAAAGCCAACACAGTGCTGGGCTGCATTAACAGAGGGACAGAATCAAGATCACGTGAAGTATTAATACCACTTTACAAGGCCTTGGTAAGGCCACACTTGGAATACTGCATCCAGTTTTGGTCACCACGATGTAAAAAAGATGCTGAAACTCTAGAAAGAGTATAGAGAAGAGCAACAAAGATGATTAGGGGACTGGAGGCTAAAACATATAAGGAACGGTTGCTGGAGTTGGGTATGTCTAGTTTAATGAAGAGAAGGACAAGGGGGGACATGATAGCAGTGTTCCAATATCTCAAGGGCTGCCACAAAGAAGAGGGAGTCAAGCTATTCTCCAAAGCGCCTGAAGGCAGGACAAGAAGCAATGGATGGAAACTGACCAAAGAGAGAAGCAACCTAGAACTAAGGAGAAACTTCCTGACAGTTAGAACAATTAACCAGTGGAACAACCTGCCTCCAGAAGCGGTGAATGCTCCAACACTGGAAGTCTTTAAGAAGAGACTGGACAGCCATTTGTCCGAAATGGTGTAGGGTTTCCTGCCTGAGCAGGGGGTTGGACTCGATGACCTCCAAGGTCCCTTCCAACTTTTATTATTATTATTATTACTCAGAATATCCAGAAGAATAACAAAAACTGATGACCATTATCCATTTTTAATGATGGGTTATTTTCAAAAGTTTCACATGGAGCAAGTGGGTTGATTGCTATGCCTGCTTAGAGATATGAAAGGAAACAACTATAAATCAATCTGATCAAATAATTCAATCTGTAGCTAAGCCACATATTAGCTGTTTTATTGTTTGCAAAAAAAATCTTTAAAGATTTCTTTAAATGAAAACTTATTTCACTGAAATGTCATGTTCTCACAAAATACTTTTCTTCCTTTGCACCCAGCTTTTTAAGGAGATCATTAAGGGCAAAAATGTTCTTTTGCTAAAAGCAACATGAGATACTTTCCAGCAGTTGATCTCTGGCACAGAGATTTGTTTTCTCCCTTTTGCAATCAGTTTCTATTTTATGCCTTGGAAATTTTCAAAAAACCACAGAGCAGAGGAGAGCCTTTCATTAAAATGAATCATGATTGTGAATCTTTAGTTGAGTTTTAAGTAAGGTCTCTTTCAGGGTTCGTATGCAACAGATATATTGGAAAAGTTTATATCTGTACTCTCTGAATGTTTTAAAAGCATTTAGGCATACTCACTTCTGTATTTTTGCCTGAGAGATACTTACACAGAAGGATTGTGTAAGTTTAACATCTTTATAAAGTACCTGTGCATACGATTGTCATGATTTGCACAGACAACATTTTGGAAACTACACAGTTGTGCTGATTCCGCATTGATATATTTTACCATTAGTCTTACTTCCTCATAATCTGGTTACCCACCCACCCCGCACTCCCCACCCCCAAATGTCTCCAACATCTACACAGAGATTAGTTGGAGAACTCTACTTATATTTCCACTAGTAGGTTTGGCTCACACTGTGGTAGCCAGCAGTAGGATCTTCTCATTAATTTATGGAAATTTCTCCCCAAGCCTACTTGCCTGACTCCTCACTGTCTTCTTTCAGAAAAGAACCCATTCAGCCTGTTGATGAGATGAAAATAACTACTCCAGGCCCAGGCATTACATTTTCCTATTACATTTTCCTATTATTTATTTCATTTTTTCTCTACTTAAAATGAACTCAGTTTTAATAAAGCAAAGTTTTACATTTAGGCAGGAAAAATCAAAGCTATAAGTACAGATTAGGTGAGACCGGGCTCCAAAACAGTAACTGTGAGAGGGACCTTGAAGCCCTAGTGGACGATCACTTGACTATGAGCCAGTGATGTGCAGCAGCCGCCAAAAAAGCTAATACAATCCTGGATTGTATAAACAGAGGCATAGAATCAAGATCACACAAAGTATTAGTACCGCTTTATTAAAACCTTAGTGCAGGGGTGTCAAACTGCTGGCCCGCGGGCCGGATGCATCATAGTGAAACCATGCCCACCCCATTGCCGGCAATGGCAAAAAAGTTGTGATACGTCGTGACACGTGATATGACGTTGCGAATTTGACACCCCTGCCCTAGTGAGACCACACCTGGAATACTGCAACCAATTTTGGTCACCATACTACAAAACAGATGTTGAGACCTTGGAAAAAGTTCAGAGAAGAACAACTAAGATGATCCAAGGCCTGGAGACTAAAACATATGAAGACCAGCTGTGAGTTTGGCTAGTCTAAAGAAAAGAAGAAATAGCGGTTGACATGATAGCAGTATTCCAGTATTTGAGAGACTGCCACAAAGAAGAGGGGGTCAAATTATTCTCCAAAGCACCAGAGGACAGGACAAGAAACAATGATTGGAAATTGATCAAAGAGAGAAGCAACTGGGAATTAAGGAGAAAGTTCCTAACAGTGAGGACAATTAACCAACAGAACAGCTTGCCTCCAGAAATCATGGGTGCTCCATCTCCGAAGGTTTTTAAGAAGAGACTGGACAGTCACTTGTCTGAGATGGTGTAGGTTCTCCTGCTTGAGTGGGGGGGCTGGACTAGAAGACCTCCAAGGTCACTTCCAGCTCTCTTCTATTCTAAGAGAAGATTTCTATTATTATTGTGAAGCATGCTGGTTTAATTTCAGACTCCTTCCTCCCCTTTTTGTGTAAACTACTATGGCTCCTTTGGGAAATATAGTATGTTAATAAACCTTAACAGTCTATCTCTGCTTTTATTAAGCCATCAATATGATCCATTAAACATGACTGATAATACTAATGACAGAACTCTTTCCATCTTCACAATGAGAAGCCTTTCCCTACTAAAACCAATTTGCTTATTCACTATAGGACTTTATATCTGAGCCTCATTCCCAGCTTTTGTGGTACGTCATTGTCTTTTGACAGCAGATCTAGTGTCTCTAATTTTTTTTCCTTCTGTTCAATCATGTCTGATTCTCAGTGATTACCTGGACAATTCTCTGCAGTTTTCTTGGCAAGGTTTTTCAGAAATGGTTTGCCGTTGCTTCTTTCCTAGGGCTGAGAGAGAGTGACTGGACGAAGGTCATCCATCTGGCTTTATATCTATATCTCTATACCTATATCACACAGACATATATTATGAAACAATATCATATGAAATACTCAGCTAACATTGAAACTGACACAGGAACAAAACAGTCAAACTGCAGGAATCACTTGAGATTCGGTGTTTAGCTTCAGTTGGCTTCTTTTTCACATAAGGTTTAAATTGTACATTGTTGTGAGTTTGAGCACTATCCTTGTGCTATTGACGGGGGTTCCCTGATGTGAAGCAGAATGTATCAATGCTTTTTTTCTTCAGGCAAACAGCTTGAATCAAAGTCAAAACAGAGGGCTATCCAAAGCTGGATGTAAAACTAAACTCTCGATAAGTTCCTTTTGAGCCTTGGACCTTTTGAAATGTGAAGAATATTTTCCAAAAGAAAACTAATGATCTGGGGAGCAGACCTAATCCAGCCTCAGGAATGAGAGTTACAAGCTTGTCAAGCAGCTGGTCATGTTCAAAAGCTCCACTTTTGCTCATGATGGTCTCATTTTTTTT